TGATTGTGGTTGACACTTACTCGAGATTCTTGGCAGTCGTGGAAGTAAGATCCATAGACGCAAAGTGCACTAATGCAGCTCTGTCAAAGGTTTTTGAAACGTGGGGCCTGCCAATGATCATGCAAAGCGACAATGGGCCGCCATTTCGCAGCACAGAGTTTGTCGAGCATTGGGAACAGAAAGGAGTAAGAATTCAGAAATCCATCCCTCTTAGCGCTCAGTCGAATGGAGCCGTAGAGCGTCAGAATCAAGGAATTCTGAAAGCTTTAGCTGGTAGCAAGCAAGATGGAACCAACTGGAGGGCTGCTCTTCATAGGTATGTTCACGTCCACAACACAATTAAGCCCCATTCCAGACTCGGTATCGCACCCTTCGAGCTCCTCGTTGGGTGGAAGTACCGGGGAACATTTCCGGCCCTTTGGGAGTCAAAGTCTGACAATGAACTGGATCGTCACAACGTTAAGGAACATGATATTCTATCGAAATTTGTGAGCAAGGGCTACGCGGACAACCGTAGAGGAGCTAAGCTTTCCGACATCAAGGCCGGTGACAGGGTCGTAGTTGCGGTCGCAAAATCAAACAAAATTGATCCATTGTTTTCGAAGGAAAGGTACACTGTTTTGACTCGGGAAGGTGCCAAAGTCGTCGTTCAGAGCAGTCGGGGTGTACAGTATGCTAGAAACGTGCAGGACGTCAAACGAGCAATGGACTTCGAGGTAGCCGATGCAGATACAAACGACAACTCTATTCCAAATCCGGATGCAGACGTGGGTGGTATGAGAGATGAAGAGTTGCACGAGATGTGGAATAGTGCAGGTCCTCTGCGAGATGAGGAGTTTTCTGCTGAAGATATGAGTCAGCAAATGTCTGTGAGGCCTAAACGGAATATAAAACGACCTGAAAGGTATAACGACATGTTTCTCTATAGGATTTTTCAGTAATAATTAACAGGAATAGTTTTGTTTACTATACAACATAGCATAAAACGCAAGAATGGAGGTCAGCACTGTTCACAATTAAATAAAAGTAAAAAGATCTAAAAGTTTCCCTTTATTGTCGTTTTCCTAGATTCTCCCAACATCAATGGTAAATACATATGTGTCGAATGCATCCAATTGGTATTTTTGTATATACATTTGAGCCTCCCTTAGGTCTGCGGGTAAATGCGCAGAGCTACAAAGCAAGGCCGTGCTGGTGGCGGCTGGGTTTGAATCTCGGTTCGGTCTAGGAATTTTTCTGGTTGGATGGGATTTAGCATACTAACGGTTTATTGACCCCTGGCTCCGTTTAAAGGCCATTTAATAATGTAACTAAATTTGGAAGAGAGTAGGCGAGCAGGAGGATGTAGAGAAAGGATGGAACTGGGCTAGTAAAGTGAAATAACTTTGGTTCGCTTTAAGAGTTCATTTAAATAGTTTTCATTTAGTGTGTGAACATGGGTATGAGGACAACCCTGTGACAGTGGGAAAATCAAAACAAAGCCTTTCGTTCAGAGACTTTCTCGGCTTTATTTCTCTCTCACTCTTCCTCGTTTTCGCGTTACCGAGAGACGGGCCTGGACAGCTTTCCGACGGTTCAGTCAAGCAGTTTTGAAAAAGATCTTAAAGTGTGAAGTTGAGTGATCACAAAATGCTGCGCAGAGATTACGGTCCTTTTCCAAATGGTGGAAATCACGACAATGTACATATACAGTTACAGTTACAAAGTTGTAATATTTTATATAATTAAAATAAACATCAAAATATAATATATTTCAGAACTTATAACTTCGTTAGAAAAACTCAATGTTTGGTGTACACTAACATATCTTATATGCTGAAGATACGTGAGACAACATGGGTTTCTACAATTAAAAAAATTACAAAAAAAAAATTGTTAAAACCTTAATTGGTTGGAATTTAGGTGAATTTTGAAATTTTCACGGATTTCGAAATTTACGCGGATTTTTTTTTCACGCGGCTCGTATACCCCGCGTAAAAAGTGACTCCAGTGCATATTAAGGAGTGCATTCCCGATGCTTCCACGCATATTATCTTCTAGTCATTTCCAAACATTTTAAGCGATCGAGGTCCAAATCCACATGATTTTTGGCACGTTACAAATAGTATATTATTGCAGTTGAGGAACCTTATAGATTAAGATATTTCAATATGAATATGAATATTTTTAGTTAATTATTTCTTAACTATTATCACATATTGGGGGCCATACTTTAATTATGTCACGTTAAATTGAAAAAATATCCCCCCTTCCATCCCTTTCGACACGTTTTTCCTATACCTAATGTATTGGTTGTCACAGGTTCTTAACCTCTCCCCGTGACAGAATATGTGTATGTGATGATGAAGTGCCAGTCAAGTAAAAATTAAAATTATATGCATGAAACTTATTTATTATCTTTATGACTTGCGACATCTTTTACATTGTTGCGACACACGTGATGTTGCCGTTTCACACTTGAATAGAGATATGCGTTCTCTAGGTAGGTTGAAGTTTAACCAGTTTAAGTTGAAAACCAGTAAACTAAATGCATGGTAATTTTGCGAGTAAATGATAACGTCTCTGTTGCAAAGGGTGTACCTTTTAAAATCCGCACACACTCAAATTGCTCTAACTTTTGATCCGTTGGGTAAAATTAATCTAAATTTTGCGTAGACATAGTTTAATGTGTTTTGTTTACACTCTGTGAGTTTATTTCATCAGGTGCGCAAAAGTTTTCAAAATGGCGGCGAAAGAACAGTGCGTGTGCAAAAAAGTTTTGCACGAGTACTTTGAGAATAAGGATCTGTCGCATCGTGTCATCGAAAAAAAGATGGGAATCGCGAATTCCACGGTGCCTGGTATCATAAAACGGTTCGAAAAACGTCTGATTGTTGATCGGAAGCGAAAATCCGAAAAAAAAAAACCGTCAGGTCAACGAGAACGATCACAAACACGTGGTTGGGGCCTTTAAACGGAAACCGAACGCCTCAGTTCGAGATGTGGCTAAAAAGTTGCATGTGAGCAAAATACCAAAACTCGAGCTGGACTATGTACGTTTAAGGTTCGGAAGTCCCCAAACCGTGACGAGAAACAGAATACGGTCGCAAAAGGTCGTGTCCGGAAGTTGTACGACCAGAAGTTAACGACGAGTAAAATTTTCATATCATTCGATTGAAGATGATGATCAATTCAATCAATTCTGTGAAAACGAATTCTTCTTCTTTCCTTTATTTAACGTCGGTCTCTGTTCCGCAATCTAGTGCCAATCACCGACGGACATCGATTGCCATCCATTGACGGCAATCGAATGAGCAGGAAGGCAGCTTCCACACCTGCGTAGGATATCGCACCCATTCAACACACATGGGCCGGGACCAACGGCTTTACTTCCTTTCCGAAGGAAGACGTGACCAGAGATTTTTATGCCTCAGAAAAATCCCACTGACCTCGGCTGGGATTGAACCCAGACCCATCGGGGTGCTAGAAAGCAGTCACGCTTACCACTACACCACCGGCGCCGGCTAAAACGAATTCTCACATGACCATAATTTGAAGAGCCGCTTTCTCATTCGAAGCTCATTGTCACTGTCACTATCATTTGATATACGGCAGTGGAGTATGGTAAAAACCCAGCAAAATGGTCTCGATGCCGGATCATTGCAAGGCAAATTTAAGGTCGATGTCGACCCAATGTCATGTTGTTGTCGGGTCAATTTTGGGTTTATGTCGAGTCAATGTTGGGTCAACATCGATTATTTTTTCAATGGTATTGCAGATTTTCCACCACTTTCGTGCAAAACATTATTCCTCAGAAATATTTTCGCACAGGCATAACAATTTAAAAATCGACAGTAGTAGTTTTATAACAGTGCCGGTAAGCTACAGAGACGTGCAAAGACTGAAACCAAGAGTTCCAATCGAATCGTCAAACGCGGTTCCAATGGAGCAATGTAAATAAGCACGAGAGTTTCACAAGAAAAAAGTGTGGGGAGTATTGAGATTGAGGTTGATATTCATTTTTTATAGATTTAAATAATTCTATTAAGTTTGCGTATGAAAAATATAAATCGACTATCATCTAAATGACAATTCATTTATCAATATCATCACTTACGCTACATAATCGAGAGTTTTCTGTCACGCTTTAATCGGGAGGAAGCCGACAGAATTAAACCCACTAACTTTTTTCTGACGACACTGTCTTTTGGAAACCAGAAGAAACTGACGTTTTTTAACGTGTTATTCTGTTATTTTTAATATGATGATGCCATGCATTTTAATGGCATTACTACCGATACGATCAAAAAAGTATTTGTTTCACCGTGATGCTGAAGCAAACAATAGTCGCTCAAATCAAAAGTCACTCGAATTAAACACAAAATTGCGGGTTGCCGAACCTTGCAGACAAAATAACTTAGTTTGCCGTGCAACCAGATTTAATTTTATTCTCCCCGTGCTTCATCGTTATAACACATTGTCTCTGGTAAGCTACAAAATTTGTTTTTTTTTTTTTTTAATTTTGACCACTTGAACAAGATGAAAAAGATAGGGACTTATTGATGAAATGTAAGAAATTTACAATCGTCAGCTTTTTGTGCCATTATTCTTCACTCATATTTTGCGCTAACTCATATTTTGGGATTCAAATCGGAGGGTGGCTGCAATGATTGTAAACTCTTTCTTTAAAAACGAAGCACTCTACTGTACCCTACATGAAATTCAATTTCCTACATGGGCCTGTTTTGCGTATAGCGGTAGTACAATCAGTTATCTCAATTCCTTTATTGTGTCGCTCGTCTCCAAAAAACTCATATCATTATTTATCTTCAGCAATCTGAACATTCACGTGCAAGGCAGACACCATGTAAATTGTAGCAGATAAGAGTAATAGTTTTACTACGAATGTAAACAGAAATTATCAATAAAATGCATCGTCATTCAGATGAAGATAAGGCCTTACATAAAAATACATCCATGGTGCTCCTGCTGCTTCAATATTGTCCTTGTACTTGATACTGAGAAGATCGATTTTGTTGTACCATGGAACACACTGTTTGGCTAATTGTTCTGTTGACGGTCATTCCTACGCTAGTCACTGGAGCTAATATTCTATTGCTATCAGGAGTTCCATCACCCAGCCATTCTATATGGTAAGTTGTATGGCTAAAAAATAACGACAAATTAAACTACAGCTTAAACTGTTTTCAAATCTATCAGGTTCCGACCATTGATGAATACGCTGGCGGAGAGAGGTCATAATGTGACCATCGTTAGTCCCGATGTTGAGAAGAACCCTCCAAAAAATGTGTCATACATCCACCTAGAAAATCTTTATAGTGAAATGTATAATACAAGTGGTCGTAAAATGCCGGACTTTTTTGAGATGCACAAGAAACCACTAGACTTGTTACGGTTTTTGGATGAGTTTTCGATAATATGCTGTAAGGCTGGAATCAAATCGAAAGGCTTCAAACAGTTAATGGACTACCCAAAACCGTTCAAGTTCGACTTGTTCATGAGTGATTACATGTTTGGTCCATGTTTTGCATCTCTGCTGATGCATCGATTTGGAAACCCTCCTTACATCCCATCAGCGCCGTACAATGCGTTGGCAACATCGTCACCTTTAATTGGATCATATGCCTACTCGGGTACGATACCAAACCATTCATATGATGTCCCCGTCGCGATGACGTTCTGGGAGCGACTACAAAACTGGTTCTATGATTTGTACGAAATCATTTCGAAGGATGTTTACCTGTATCCGGAGTCTGATGCCATCATTAAACAAATCTTTCCAAATTCTCCGAGTGCAAAAGACCTTCAAAGCAGTATCAGGTTGCTATTTATAAATTCTAATCCACTGATTCAGTACAAGGAACCACTTATGCCGAATGTAATTCCTGTTGGTGGAATGCAGATTCAAAAATCGAAGCCTCTTCCCGAGGATTTAAACCGAATCGTGAACAATGCGAAAAATGGTTTCATATTGTTCTCACTCGGATCAAATGCCAGAAGTGATACGCTTGGTCCAGGCCCCATTCGAGAGATTCTGACAGCAATGAAGGCATTACCTCAGTATCGATTCCTTTGGAAGTTCGAATCTGACGAATCCAAACTGCCGATGAAGGTCCCTGAAAATGTATACATCAGAGCTTGGATGCCCCAGAATGATCTACTCGCGCATCCAAACATCAAACTGTTTATCACTCATAGCGGTCTTCTGAGCACACAGGAAGCAATTTGGAATGGAGTGCCAATAATTGGATTTCCACTATTTGCCGATCAGTTTCGCAATATAAACTATTGTGTATCCCTTGGAGTGGCGAAGCGGCTTATAGTTCAGTACATGGTTGCAGCTGAGCTCGTCGATTCAATTACGGATATTTTGACCAACTCTAGCTACAGTGATAAAATGAAACGATTGTCGATACTGTTTCGAGATCAACCCGAAACTCCACTGCAGCGCGCTGTTTGGTGGGTTGAATGGGTTCTTCGGAATCCTGATAGTGACATGCTACAGCCGAGTACCGTCAACTTACATTGGATTAAGAAGTACTCGTATGATGTTCTTCTTTTTGCAGTCACAGTGACACTCTCGTTACTTTACATTGCTTTGACAATGGTTAAAATGCTGACTAAACATTTGTCGGAGAGATCTGAAAGAAAAGAAAAGCAAAGCTAAGTTAGCTAGTTAGTCTTAATATTATATGGATTCTTGTGTTTATGTTATGGAGAAAATATGAACAAGTCAACCCATTCTTTACTTACCAGGATTGTCATGATTTTGATTGAGAGGTATATTAAATAGTCGTCACATCAAAAGCTTTGTAAATTTATATGTTACTTATTTATAGATTTTTTAAAGTTAAGATGAAGAATTGAGAATTAAAATTTTAAAGTGTCACTTTCAGTTCTTGTATAATTCATAACTTATATTTTATCAGGATAATATCAGAAAACAATCAGCTGTGTTTGTTATTAGAAGTTGTGGATGATGAACGATGTAAATATACACACTCAATCTTGTTTGGTAAAATCCCCAACAGTTGATTAGGCTGCAATCGATATCAGGTCGTAAAAGATCAACAATAAAGATAGCTTTGAAGACGGCTCGTCGAGCGCAGAGTAATTGTAGGCTCATCAAATTGCACCGATTTTCATAATTTGGTGGATCTCTCCGGGGTAGCCAACGAAGAGCAAAGCGTATGAATCTCCGCTGTATGAACTCGATGCGTTTCACCCCATTGTTATAGAATGGAGCCCATACTACCAAGCAGTATTCTAATGTAGAGTGAACAGAGAAATAAAACATTTCCAAGCAGGAAATATCCCTGAAAACTTTGGTGAACTAAAACATGAAACCAAGTTGGTTTTAAGCCTTAGCGGAAACGTAAGCAACATGATCCTTGAAGGTAAGTGCAGCTATGGTCGTCGCAAAATTTGAACTTATTAGTCGCTATATTAGTATGAGGTTGCAACTGGTAGGAGCGTATTGATTTAAGTGAGACATAATTGTGAATTAATCGTCCAAAATACTGCAACAAGTACACTCAATTCTGGTTTAACTCGATTTTTTTCACCTCTATTTTTGATGGTGTGATCTCAATTTTCAACCAAAACCTTAAGGACAGAATAAAAAAAAAAACATGTGTAATTATTCACAAGATTAAAGCAACCTGTGATTTGCAAGATTATGAAATTTAACATAAGTTTAAATATAGAGATTGCTGATGTTTATTGTGCGTACGATGTACAGAGTGATTCAGAGTAACTGTCAACGATTTCCCATATATGCCATTCTCAATGGGTAAAATATATGTAGAATATATGTTTCTTCAAGAATTTTTGTTATGAAGTGTCTACAAATGTCATCTTGTATTGATAGTAGTATTATAAATTTCATCTTGTATTGATAGTATTTTTTTTTCCTTGATTTGTTTTCCGTCGATCTTGTTTTCCGTGCTGAGCACCAATGCTACCGACGCCAGGGAGGCAGCTCCTACACCTGGACCCTACCTATCGACCCATCAACTCATGAACCGGGGATCAACGGCTTTACTTCCCTTCCGAAGGAAGACGTGATCATAGATTTTATGCCTTAGAAAATCCCGGTGACGCCTAATGGGATTGAACCCAGGCCTGCTGGGGTGAGAGGCAATCACGCTTACCACTACAACACCGGCGCCGCTTGTATTGATAGTAGTATTATAAATTTCATTCGTTTTCGATTTTAAGGAGCCAAGGACGTGAAAAAGAAGGGTGTTATAAATCTGTATAAATTCGTGTGTTATCTTTTAGAATCTGAAATCTCTACAAGTGAATGAAACATTTATTTTTCGCAACATTATGTAGGAACCATGCTTGGAAAATCTGTTCAATATCTGAGCTTAAACGCATCACCAGGACTCCACAAGCTGGAGCTGAAACGTGATACCCAGCTGTGATTAATTTTGTGACAAATTAGTAAATGGAGAGAGATTTATATTTAAGTATGCTAAGTTGAAGGTTATATAAGTAGTAAATCTCAATTACACTGATACATATCAAAAATTCATTCAAGCGTTCAATCGTTATGACCATTTTTTAAAGTCACAGTTAATCTGAATCACCCATAAGCCAAACGTTTTTCATAGCGAAAAATTTTCCCGATGAAAACTTATCACTGATGCAATCACAATTTAACATTCTCCTTATACGAGATAGTTTTAGTTTTAACTATTGTTTATTTCATATCAAACATATTTAAATGTGTTACATTGGATCTGTTTATGGCTTCCTTGGTAAGTTTTGTAAAATACAGTCACAATTTTCCAATGCCATCAGAGGACTTTTGTACTGTCTAAAGGTTTTCACTGATCAGAATTTATAGGTAAATTGTATCCTGAAAATATGGCGATCCAAGATGGCGAATTTTTACATGCTAAAATGTTTTCAAATGATTGGATTAGGTTATCTTTCATATATTTTTTCATAGCTTCATAGATTTTTGGAATCGATCAACCCGTTCCAGAGATATGACCGGAACATGTTCCGGATCTTGAAACTAGAGGCAACCCAAAACATTCCAAACACATCATTCGATACATGGTCAGTGTTCAGTTTATAATCACAGAAGAATTTAAAAATAAGATCGATGGTGATTATACTGAGTGCTCAACACCACATTGGACACATCCGGATACGTTCTGGGTGTCACCAGGGAAGTGGCCAGTTTCTAACTTAGATCAAACCCCATAATGCGTCAGTTCATATAACATCAGAATTTGAAAACAAGATCAATGGTGATTATACTCAGGATCACTTTGGCAATTGCACATGTTCCGAGTACGCGCGGAGGGTGACCAATTTCTAACGGGCACATAAATTACACTGTGCAACAAACTTGAGCTTTTTTTTTAGGATAGATTTTTTACACCATATTTGACTTTCTTGTGGTCCTCTGATTTAAAGTGTAGAACGTACTTATACCCTAACACGTCATGTTTCTAAGATTATGAATTTAGGTATGGTTGCATAATCTTGATCGTATACTGTCAATCCAAAGTATGTGACATTCTTTCTGTTCATGAGTGTTTTGTAGGAAATTACTGTTGAATAATTTTTCTAGATCATTCGAAAAACTATCTTAATATTTTACCCCTCGATTAGGTGATTTTTCAATGTTGGTGTGCCCCTAATAGTCTGAAAATATAGAAAACCACAGTTAGCCACTATAGTATTTACGTAATTATACGTTGTGATTTTGGTGTAGTGTCACTTTCAACAGCTCATAAGATATCCAACATCCTTTACTCTAAATTTTAATTTAGATTTTTTTTGTTCTATTATCACACATAACAGGTTTTTCGTAATTATAACAATAATACGAGTTTCGAGGGCAGCATTTTTTGCCATATACATATGACTTTCTTGTGGTCTTCTGAGTTAAAGTCTAGAAGACTCTTGTGTCCTGAGGGAGGATCCATAAAAGACGTAGCATATTTTTGATCAATTATAGACCCCTCCTCCCGCTCGTAGTGTATTTTGCTATATCCAATACATGGCCGGTCACAAATTCTGAAACCCCCACCTCCCCCCTCAAATGCTACGTCATTTATGCATGTTCCCTAACACATCACGTTTTTTTCGGTACCGCCCACTTTGTGATTGGGCCACATTGCACTGTTTCGGTCAGACTGCCTAAATCAGAAGGGCGTTCCCAGTGGCTATAGATCTCTTTAGAAAATTAATGCGGGTTGAACCACAACAGAAAGACACTTGAGATGGGTTGGGAAATTTGCTTATTTATTAGATGACTTCGAAGCGTCAGGAGGCGTTTCGATCCATCAACTCATGAACCGGGGACCAACGGCTTTACTGACCAATGCACGGAATGAACTTACGAAAAAAATGGACTTTTTAGAGGTGCCGTGTTTACTACAAATAACACATGAATATTGCTCGCGTAATTTGAGAAAAGGGCCTATCAACTTTTATACACAACTTGTTAAGCCCTTTTCACGCGAACCGAAGCACGCCCACGCAAACCTATCGGGAAGGGGAGAATTTACCCTACCCGATGGTGTTGTTGCAAGTACCTTAAATAGCCTACGGAACTGGAATGGAATCAAACAACATTTCAATTTACATTTTTCAAACATTTATACGAATTTATTAGCATTTTTCAATTAAATTAGTATATAAGTTTGCCTTGTCCATGTACACAGAAGACTGATTTACTTTTCGTTTGGTTTTTGTTTGTTTTACATTGTTTCGGCTTTGTCACACACCATTTACACATTTATAATTTAATAATTAATTCATTTTTTATTGAATATTTGTATTACAGAGATTTCATTAGCCTTCACCCATGCTAGTCGAATAGGTGGAATGTTTCTCTCGCCTTTTTTTGATTCGTTAAACCTGGGCAAATACACGAACTGGTAGACAGGAAAAATAGACATTCAGTTACGAGTTTAAGTTGTTGTTTGTTTATTATTCTAGTACCAGCCACAATGACGATAAATTTGTAAGATTTGTTATTTGTTTTCACTCAGATTTTGATATCTGTCTTCTCGAGACTCGATATATTTGAACTTCACACAAAGTAGATACAATCAGTGATATTTCATTTTTATCTCGGTAATGATTTTCCATTAAGGTTTTTCTTCACATCGAGCGTTGATCTATTTACAGGTTAGCAATCGCTTTGATTAGAAAAGTTTTGACAAACAGTGATTACGCTCATCTTTTAACATTTACCCTCGACGAAACACGCATTGCTCTTATTTATGTTACTATCAAATGGTATAGATTTGGTTTGTTTACAAGTATGTTTTGAGTATGTTCAATTTTGTATTTATTTACCTATGTACAGGTTAGTAGCTATGACTTTCGCTTACTTGTAGAGATTTAGGGTTTTCTTCTTCATGGTAAAACATAGTTCTCCCTCAATAGTTGTAGACGGTTTGAGTAAAAACTGTTGCGAGAACAAAATTTTAACAAGTGTCGTTAACTATCACAGTCTTTGTATGTACGAATATTTGCTTTTTCTTTTCATGAAATTAAAATTATGTTATTGAATTGAACATCACAACTAAATGAACCAAATTCTTAACTGTAATGCCTACATTCTATAGTTTTTGCACTGTTTTGTTCAATAAATGAAACAAAATTAGAAGACTAGATTTTCGTGTTTGGTAATACTTGCCAATTTTCTTTTACATATCACAAATTATAATCAGAGTGTTACCTCAATGTGTCATTATTTATATACAGGTAATAAATTATCATTTTATACATTAATTCATTATCTATGATGACTCGACCTGTTATCAGAAGACTAGTTTGTTTTAGTTTCATAGTTGCGACATGAGATTCGTTCTTTACATCAAAAATATTGCTAGTATACACTGACTTGGAATTCCGTTTTGTTCGGTTGTTTGTATAATCTTTAAAATATGCATCTCCATCTTTCTTTGGTTGGAAATTTAAAAGTTGAGACATTTGCTTAGATGATCTAAAATACATTTATCTAGGTTGTGTCGGTAGAACTGTTCACTGGCAGCTTCAGCATGGTGGTGCTGCGGCTGTTGCTATTATTCGTAGGGAGTCAACTTCTTGTAGATGTCAAAGTTGTCAACCTGTGAGTGATGATGATGATGTGTGGAGGTCGTCGTCGTTGGTGATGGTCATGCGTAGTGGGGATATGAACCAAGATGGGGAGCGACGTGGGATGGCGTTACATGTGACATCGTATGCGAAGGGTAGAGGTTCGTCGCTGGACTGCCCCAGTTGCCCCAGGATGCTGCCGACGGGAAGATGGATGCTGAAAGAAAAAAATCTTTTATTAGTTATCATTAGTTCCGAAGTAACAATTCAGCAATCATTTGACATCCACTCAGATTTATTATGGTTTTATAACGGCAAAAAACAATTCATTTAGTTTAAAAACAGCATTTCAAAGTGCAAAACATTCCTGTTTAGTTATTCAGATTTTTACTGTTTTAAAAACCTTTTATAGTCTGTCGAGAAAATGAAAAACTGTCTTATTTTAAAAATAAATTTAAAGCAGCTTTTAATTCCTCCATAAAACTTTACTGTAATTCAATCATGAACTTCACTAGCCATTGTTTATTAATGTCTTTATAAAATACTCTACATACGTGTTCTGTCATTATAAAAGCAACCATAAAACCATTAGGTTTTAAATAAGAGAAAAAAGCATGTATTGAAGCTTCATAGGCTTTTTAAAGTGTATCAAAAGTACCCAATTACTATGTTTACTAATTGAACTTAAAAGATGGATCCTCATAGTGAACAAAAGCAAAATGACAAGGAAATCTCGAAGAATAGACGAATTAGGATAAAAAAAAATCAAGCGATTCTAACGACCGAACGGAAGTCGATTTCAGCAAAATTTACTTCTTTAAAAGATCCAGCACGTCTGGCTGAACCGGTACCATCAACGACTGAGCATGGCGGAGAAGTGAAGTGAAGTTAAGTGAGCGAGGCCCTCGAAATATAAATAATAAAACATGTCGAAACAGTCTAAAACAGACCAGCCTTCTCCAGATCTTGACAATTTATTTATTTATTTATTTAGGGGAATTTACGTATTCTCGTCAATCTAAGCAGCGTCTGCACTTCTACTAGCATTTTCTCAGCGTCACGCACATATATGATGTGTCTGTTTGTTTACATTCATCTGCTGCTTGCTTCTCTATCCATTCCAATCGACAGAATTTTTCAAAACATTTTGAAAGCGTTTTTACAACGCTCCAAACTTCTCAGGTGAGTGTGACTATTGTCGGCAGCCTCTTTTTCTTCGGCAACCTATCCATTAGAACTGCGTGTTAACCAGCTGTTCTTTTATCGGCAACTCGAAATCAACCCCATTTTGTAGTGCGTATGCTTTATTTGAAGAAAAATGTAGCATTACTGGATTACTCGATCGTTCAAATATAATCAGATTGAAGCTGAAAGGCTAAACAATCGTTTGGACATATTCAGGGAAGTGCGTTGATGGGAAAACATAGTGAAATTAACGTTTAAATTTAGGTTGCCGAAAACAGTCAATGGGTGCCGAAGCCAACATTTACCCTATTTGTAATTCATCTGACATATGTGGTCTTAATGAATATGAGAATACATTTTCAAAACAGCTACAAAATTGACAAACTAGTAATTCTATTTTTAAAACGACCAGAAGTTTCGCCGAACTCAAAGACCTCCACCACCGAAAAAGCTCGAATCATCGACGATATTGGTTCATTATATCCAAACAAAGTACGGTGAAATCTGTCCTGTAGTAGTGACCACTGGTAAAGAGGACGTTGAGCAGCACGGAAGTCCAACAAAGAAAGTAGCCGGGGAGAATCGACTTCACCATTTAGCAACTTCGCCACGAATGTCTCCTGTTGTAGTCTTCGCCTTCTTTCAAGGGTGTCCATGCCCAACGGTCTACATCGATCGGGATAGGCAGGGAGGTTCAACGGATCGCGCCAAGGTAGATGACGCAGTGCTAGCCGGATGAATCGTCGCTGGACACGTTCAATCCTTAAGGTCCAGGAAACATCATTTGGAGTCCAAACAACAGAAGCGGTTTCGAGAATTGGCCGTACCAGCGCGCAATACAAGGATTTCAAGCAATATGGATCCGTAAAATCCTTTGCAATTTTCGAAATTAAGCCCAACTGTCGATTCGCCTTGGCAATTATCGAAGTGTAGTGAGAATTGAACGTCAGTTTTAGTTCCAGCAAAACTCCGAGATCAGTAATCACTTCAACTCGTTTAAGTGAAGTACCCTTGATGCGATAATCGAACAATATCGGTTGTTTTGAACGATGAAAGGTCATAACAGAGCACTGGGGTACGCTAATAATTAACTTGTTCCGATGGCAATAGTCAGAAAATAGGTCTAGAAGATGTTGCAAACGGTGGCAATCTGCAGTTGAGCGAATAACTAAATATATTTTCAGGTCCTCGGCGTAGATGATCACGCAGTCCAAGCCTAATTTCGAAGCAACGTCCTTGAAAAACAGTGTGAACAATAATGGTCCCAAGTTGCTTCCTTGGGGAACACCGGATGTATTGCAGAAGGTCGAAGAAACACAGGAGTCAAATTTAACGCGGAGTTTCTTTCCCGTTAGGTAAGAGTTCAGCCAAGACACTAGCTTAGAGCATGATCCGAGACGTGACAAGAATACATGACGATCGGAATATCTTGCATCAGTACCGACAGCAAACTACTGAAACTGTCAGTTAGCGGAGATTAGCTGGATTCCGATCCATAGCAGCGATTTTATTCAGCGAAAGGGTCAACTCTTCGAAAAAATAATTCAAGCGTATATTCCTTTTCGGGAACGATTGAGCTTACAGCTGTTCGAAATACGAAATGTTGTAAAACAGTATCGCACACTTTCTGAGTAGCTGACACCTTTTTGAGAACTATTTTAATAATTTTGGGAATTCAACAGGATTTTTATACAATCAGTTTTTATTTAAACTATTTTGATAAGATCGGATGTACTTTATGAATCCTTTTCTATCTTGATTGATGCTTTTCTAGTTGATGTAGCAAGCAGCTAGGAAAGATGGTTCAAAAAAGGTTTTTATTGTTGCCAAATAACTTTCTGCAGTAAATCAATCTTGAACAGCTTCGAGAATACATCCTTTATGAATGTTGTTTTATAGTAGCTTTGTAGTATTTCATAAAACTTAAAATGTTACTTGGGTTTTAACCGTTCATCTATCTTTAGTTTTAAGAAACATTGTAAAGCGAATAATGAATTACGGTTTCGCATAGCTACAACAATCCCAAGTAACATTGCAAGTTTTATCGAGGTCTTAAAGCATGCTACAAGTCTAAATTACGGTCTACAGAACCCGCATAAAACTAAAATTGTTACTTGGGAATGGATTGTTGTTTTGTGAATCATAAATCCAAAAGAATGAAACGGTCGAAAAAGTCAGATACTGGGTAAAGCAAGTGTATCAAACTTAGACACAATTTGAACAAGCCAACTGCACATTACCATTCTACATACTACGAAAAAGTCGTGTAAATTACGGTTCCCTGAGAACGACACATGATAAGACATAATGTAAAAAAAGAGAAGGAAACGAGAAAATCAATTCAATCAAACGTTCTCTTCGTCGTTTTGCTTCTGTTTCGGTCTGAAAATACTTAATTTTACATGAAATTTTTGATTTTTTTTTTCTTTGATTTGTTTTCCGTCGATCTTGTTTTCCGTGCTGAGCACCATTGCTACCGACGCCAGGAAGGCAGCTCCCACACCTGGACCCTACCTATCGACCCATCAACTCATGAACCGGCGACCAACGGCTTTACTTCCCTTCCGAAGGAAGGCGTGATCAGAGATGTTATGCCTCAGAACATCCCGGCGGCGCCGACTGGGATTGAACCCAGGCCTGCTGGGGTGAGAGGTAATCACGCTTACCACTACACCACCGGTGCCACTAGAAATTTTTGATTGCATTCCATGATTTACGTCTAACATGGATTACGTCTCGTGTAAGAGTAGTTATTTCTAACTGTGTATTTTCTACTTATTTTGGTTTACGCCAGCTCTGAAATTATTTTCATTTGAGCACTCCACAGTTGTTAATTGAGAGCTTTCTAAGCCTGTACCATTTTTGCATTAGTATTATTGAGTGGCAAGTTCAATCATATTCTATGCCCAGGAAACCGAAATTTACACGACTTTTTCGTAGTATGCAGACCACGAATCGAACTCAGCCCAAACGCAATGTGGGCGGAAATACAAAGGAAACGGAAAGTTTGACAGTTGTCATAAATGACAACAAGATGCCTAACCGAAGTCGATTTGGTTCAAACTAGTAATCAATCCGACAAGTAGCCTTATTCAGATCAGGCTTTTCCGCTGCCGCTTACGTTTTGCTTCCACTGTCATTAAGTTTGGGCCTTAAGCCTTCCCGAAAACTTTCTTCCTCAGCCTAAAACTTCCCGAAAATGAATAGAAACCTAAGTCAATTTACACTGTCTTCCAGCAGCGGATCATCTTCCTCCTGCCTATAACTTTGAAATTCGTTGATAAATTTTGTTCAAAGTTTAATAACAAAAATGTTTCTAGCTCTGACCACTAGGGATGCGGCGGTACATTGAAACCTGCGTTTGGGTTTAATTTTTACCAGACTTTATTCTAATCGACTCAACTCGACGAGCCAGGAAAATGTCTGTGAATGTTTGTATGTATGTGAGTGTCATATTTCTCAGTATCCACTGCACCAAATTCTCCAACAAGCGCCAAATGAAAGGTAATATGGTCTCATAGAAAGTTACTAAATTATTTTGAAATCAGGCAACTGGTTCCAGAGATATGGTCGTAAAAATTTCCGGTCAGTATGAGTCTTAGGGGCTATCCACATTCAATGTGGACAATTTTTGATGGGTTTCAGTCTACCCCTTTCTTCTGCGTGGACAATCATCCATATCGTTTTTTTTCCAAACCACCCTATCATATCAAATTCGAGGACCAGGACCACATGGACCTTACCTGGATATGATCTGAATGCTTCCGAGTATGTGACAAGTTTCTTGTGTGAGGCAAATCCCATCGTCCGACACAGACATTTGAAGTCATAAACAAGATCAATAGTGGTCATATTGTGAATATTAATTAATTGCTTTATTAGCGAGAATTATCGCTTGGATATGTTTATGTTTTACACCAAATCTTATCATATCACACATCAAATCACATGGGAATTCAAAATCAAGTTGTATCCATGGTAGTCAACAAATGTTTTCCGTCTCGAATTACAAGATAATTCCAAATTCAGTTT